GTGTTGGAATTCTAACTACTCGGAGCCAAAACATAGTAATGCTGTACTGATTTCGTGATCCAGGACACGCGTTTCGGTGTCCCAACACATGACTCCTTGCGTTCTACCCTCCTCGTCACAAAACCAACTCAGGACTTTCGCATTGTGTGATTGCAGCTATAGAGCGGTGGCTCTGCTATCAGGATGCAAAAATTGGGCTTAGGTGAGGCGCAGCCGTCGGGATTGTCATGGCGAATTCTTCATGCTCTTTGACATGGGCAGATGCGCTTGAGCTGTCGCTGGACAGCGACACTTCATCGCCAATGGCCCGTGGGCGATTGCCATGCTTTGTTTGTTTGCTATTGGCTGTAAATGCGGCTCGATTCCCATCTGATGACAAGCCCATCTGATGAGGAAAACAACTGGAGATTGCAGGAGATTTCTGGGTGTGAACAAGCACTACGCAGGAATTGTGCTTGAAATTCAAGGATCAGATTGATCAGCGCAGCAGCGCGAACTGAGCGTAGTTATTAGGATGCAGTGGTGAATGCACAGTGGTTCACTACGCAAATCGCAAAACCAACAGTGTGACTTCCTTTTATGTTCTAAATGAAGCAGTTTGTATGGGAGGCCGTATTTGTATCACGCATGAGCTATTTTCTTCTTGAAAATTGGTTTTAAGGTACTGATATAAGTCTGCCACATGCTCTCAAATTTTTGCACAGACCGCATGTGTACAGGTCATTTGAAAGTACTGTGAATACACGTGACTTGGTCCCAAAAGTCGAAACTTCTCACGCTCGCGCCACACAGTCATAAAAACGGTCCCTTCATTAGATCGCTTTGCGACTGAATATGCGTGGAGCAGAGCAAATATTTGTTGCCACCGCTGAGCCTGCAGGTCGCATCCGTTCCTCCCCAAGTGCAGAGATCCCGGAACCGAGTTCCGTACTGTTGTATTGTCGATTGCGACCGTAAATTCGACAGCCCAGTGAGCGTTACTGTTCGGATATCGGAAACCCGGAAGTCGGCGAACTTCTCAGTCAAGGCTATCTTAGAAGGGGGCGCCACCATGGGCAAGATGGATGCACGTGCTATGGCTGCATTTCGAGCGCCGTTCACGCCACTTCAAAAGAGGCTGCCGTGGGAGAAATTTTTGTTCGCAGAGGTTTGGTGTGCGGTATGGGTTGATTAACCTATTCCACACATTGTGTTGTACAATGTCTATCGCGCTCGCAATTTGTGTTCTTGGGACCTTTCGCCTCGCGTGCGCAAAAAGGAATGCCCGTTAAGAGTGGGTGGTCATCAAGATAAAGCGCCCGCGCCCCCACCCCCACCCCCGACGCGCTAACTATCATAGCCGTTGATCTCGGCTCGTGACTCCATCTCAGACACGCACACAATCACGCAAGCACATACAATAGCAGAAAAAAGACCAAATAACACATTTGCGAAAACATATGCATGCAATTCATCGGTGTTCTGCACGCTGAAGGCACGGGAATGGCCCAAACCCGTAAATTTTGTACACGTTTGAACACGTGTTATTTGGCCCATTTTTTCTTAGTGATAATCACGCAGGAACCAATACAGTTAGTAGAGAGCTTGACTACATTTACTAAGGAGACTGAGCAGTGCTGAGTTGCAATGCAGTTCTGTGCTGAACAGGCACGCTTGCTCCGTATGGGAGGCAAGGACTCCAGCGCATTCGCCAGAATGTTTGGCTGCCAGATTTCTAATCATTTAAGCCCATTCGCTCCAGCTTGTGGAACGCTTTTCCGGACATGAGCACTGAAAATGAGCGAATCTGCTCGTTGGAATGTTTCAGCTTGGACGTGACCATTTCTTGAATTATGTCCTGTCTTCAGCAAGCCTAATCCATCTCCACTTGCCATCCCTTGTAACCTATCCACTCAATCTGCCTTATGCTCCTTCCTATTCTGCTGTTGGCCCACTGTACCGTTTGCAGCGTCGGTGGCCTACTAGGCCACCGCTTGCAGTGCGATCATCGACAACGATGACCATATATACAGCTTTCAGACCATAGACACCGCTTGCAGATACACTAGAAAAAAAGGACCAAATAACACTTTTGGGAGCACACACCAGGCTTGGTTTTTAAGTTTACGTTTGCGTTTTTACTTCAACGTTTTTATGCGTAAAACCTTAAATTAGGGCCTATTTTTACGGCTACTTTTGCATTTTTACGGCTCCCGGGCACACCTACATTACAAAACAAGAGTTGCGTACAATGATCAGTCTTCCGCCATCTCCCTCTCTCTTGACAAGGGCGATAATGGCGTTTAACAAAAACTCATCTTCTGCCTCTTCCAAGGCGTCTGGCTGCCACTCTCCTGACTCTGCAAATCTGTATGTACTGTCCTTATGTACATCAGGCAGTTTTTACGTTGTATTTACGTATTTTTACGCATTTTTACATGTAAAAACGTAAAAACTATTTTTACGCGTAAAACGTAAATACGATCAGTTTTTACGGCGTAAAAACCAAGCCTGACGCACACAAAACACATTTCATCAAAGTTCTGCGCGCTAAGAACACAAAAATAACCCAAACCCGTAAACTTTGTACACTTTTGAACACGTGTTATTTGGCCCTTTTTTCCCAGTGATATGACCATAGATAACGCTTGCAGACCATCGCTTGCGGTGCGGTCATCGACAACGATGTGCTTGATGCCAGTCGACAGCCATGTAGCCATTCGGATACCATGCTGGTCACCACGTGGTAAATCAGAAGCCTTCTAATACTGATGCGCATGGGCGTGGTGGTGAAGAATGCTTCCTTGCTGCCTCCTTTCTTTGTTTTGTAAGAGCATCTTTATCGGTCGGTGCTATTGCACTGGCGGAGCTATCCAGGAATGGTTCTCATTGGCTGTCGTGCCACCTTACTAAGGCGGCATTTGCCGAATAGCACCGGTGCTATTGCTCCCCTGCGTGCATCCGCAATGGGGGGTGCTATGCCTACACCGAATAGCATCAAGGCAGCACTACAATGTTCTGCGCGAATAGCACCGGTGCTATTCTGGGGTGCTATTCGGCCCCGAGCGGTGCTATTCGGGGCCAAAATAGCGCTGCTCAGCGCCGAATAGCTCCGGGGGTGCTATTGTGGTGCAATTGCTCCCCAACCGTTAATGATGGCTTTTTGATGTGTGGTGCTATCCGGATAGCCGAATAGCTCCGCCAGGACAATAGCACCCACCGATAAAGATGCTCTAAGAATGACTGACGACGATGACTGCGGTGGAATTTTTTTCTTTGGCGAAGCTACATCGCCGCTGTATGCAGGGATCACCATGCTTCCAGCGCTCGAGCGCAAACGAGAGCCCACCTGGTCGATGGCCGATCCAACATGCCACCATCGGACGGGCGCCAAGTCCTCTAACTCCTTCTCGCCGGTCGCGGCTGCCGTCGGCATGGGGCTGCTCCTGTGGACCTTGACAGCCCTTACGGTTATTTCGTCTGCGCCATTGGTCCTGGCGCGGACGCCCCCTTATGAGAAGGCTGATCCCTTTCCAGTGGATACCAACGAAAGAGGTAGGGATCAGGCGCCCCGAGACAGGGGCCCATGGTTCAGCTGGGGCCAAATTGAGTCCTGGGAGCTTCCAGGCAGGCCACATGCGACCGGGACGGCGGTCTCGGCTGATACCCGTGAGCGCGAAAAGTGGCGAGGAAGTTCTCGAGTTGTCCGATCGACGGGGTCGACGGGGTTTGGGCGATGCGCCGCGATTGCTCCGTCCCCCGCGTCAGAGCTCGCGTTGCGGTCGCTTGGCTCAGCGAACACGGGAGTTTGGGGGCCATCCAGGTGATTCGAATGGCCTGGTAAGCTATTACTAGGCTGTGGGTACGCGGGGCGGATCCGCCCTCTTCGGAGAGGCCCAGCGTGAAGGAGGTCGCCTGGGTCGACTTACCGCAAGCCGCTGAGTGTGGCAGCGGGGAGGGGACCAAGGGGGGTGGGGGGTTAAGGCGGGTCTGTCGCGATAAAGGGATTCCCTTCATGGAATGGAGACATAGCGGGTTGGGTCGTTCGTCTGGTGTGTGGCTGGCTGGCGCTGTGCGCGGCACATGTGAGAAGCCATGCTGTGGGCGACGGCGGGGCGAAGTGGGGCAGAGGAAGTAGCTCAGCCACCTTTGCTGCTGCTGCAGTTGGTCCTGTTGGCGTTGGCGAGTTGCCCCCCCCCCCCTTGAAGGCCACGGGCACGGCTTATATCAGCTTATCAGTTTTGGAGAGCGTAGCTCCTGCTGTGTCTGTCTGAACATGCTGATGAATGAGGTGCGTCCTGCAGGTGAGGCTTTTGATTCCGAGACTGAGAAACAATCGGGACGCAGAAGACTGCTACAGCAACGCGGCCGAAATATAGCATCGGTAAGTCGTAAGTTGTCAGGCGCCTTGTGCTGGATGTGCAAATGACTGTTACAGCCAAGACGCACAGCACGGCAGCCCCATTTGAACAAAGGAAGCACAGATTCCCCAATCGGTGGATGTTGCTGTGAATATTCCAGCAGGGCACATATTGTGTGCCCTATTCCACTCATGCGCAATGCCTGCAACACTTACTGTATGGTTGAGTAATATTTGCCAACATGGACAACTGTTGTCAAAGAAAGATGGAACATTCTTCCGCCACAATCTTCTTCACATTCAAATTCCTGCCAACATGAAACTGCTCAGCCATGCGATTTGCATGGTTCTCATAGCTGAATTTAATCCATGTGTTTTGGCAGAAATAAGGTGCTACATTAGAAAGGAATCGTTCCTAAAGCCTGCTGCCAGATGCTGTTGCCTGCACCACTTGCTGCACACCCATGGTATTAAACAGTTGGAAGCTACCTGCTGCCGCATTGGTGTTGTATTAAAGAATGCATTTTGGCAGAATGCTGCTGCTCATACAGCAATTTAAGTGGCCTTGCGCAATTTATGATGCATATGCAGTCCTTGTCTGGGAATAGTCCAGTGGAAAAGTCAAGTTCTGAAGCTTGGCAGTTTAGTGCGTGTACTACAGGGAGAAGTTGCGCCTTGTGGCAGATACCCGTTCATGGTGACAATCCAGGATCGACAAAATGTGCACCTGTGCGGAGGTGTATTAATAGATCCTGAGTGGATATTGACAGCCGCGCACTGTGTTGACTCATGGGGCATTCCAAAACTAGTCATTGGGGCATGTCTGTTTCTTGACAAGGACATGATTCGTGAGGTAAGATCTATGCTTTGGGATGCCAAGGAGATGAGAAGAATCCACACCAAAAGAATTGAGCTTTGAACATCTGACACCATCTGGCAGCATCTTTGCCCATCTGGCATCCCAACTTTTGAGTTGATATGTAACCATCTACTGATGATGGCAGTGGATGCAACTGTTGTTAAAACCTGATGAGCAACAACGTAATGTCTGAGAATGAAACTTGCCAGGAGCAGCCTTGATGGATGTGCCAGTGAATTTTGATGCATGGCGATTCGGGAAGCATGGTGTTTTACAATGAATACCCACTGCAGGTGCGGAGGTTGCAGTATATCCTATTAACATATTTACCCGATGTTATTAGGCATGCATTGGCCCCCCTAAAATGAGCGGTGGATACTAATAGTGGGTCACAGATACCAACGTGGCTTGGAACCCCTGATCCAAGGAGTAGACAAAGAAGATATTTGAAAAATAGGAAGTGAAATGCTCAGAAATGGGCCTGAAATAATGTAAGATGGGAGTTAAATGGGTGGATACTAACACCCGGTCATGGATACTAACATGGTTTCGAACCCCCAAAAGGGGAGTGGGTATTAATACCGGGGAAATGCGGGATTAGATATGTGGCTCTCTTTTACAGTTTTCAATGAATGGGCATCCAAATCCCAATCGGCATGGTGTGTGTGCAGACAGGGACAAGCGAGATGCACTGTCCTTGTTGCTTGCTCCCATGGCAATCATGCTGTATGCATAATGGAAAAGCACTTTGGAAGGGAATTCATGGCTGCATTTGAATGTTCATTGTTGCCCATTCAGATCCGGCATGGTTTCAGTGTGAATTGGGCAAGGTGGAATAAGACACTGCCAGCTCAGCCCTGAGGTCATTGTTGTCTCTGCATTTGCTGTTCAGCAACTTTTGGTGATCTTTGTGGTTTCCTTGTGTGCAGGTATATATTCAGCCTGCAGACAGAGGCATCAAAATCCACCCCAACTGGACGGGGGATGTAGCTGATGGGAACGACCTGGCACTCATAAAGCTGCCTGAATCGTCAGAAATGCAACATGTCCAAATTTTGAATATGAGTGACAGTCTTCATCCTGGCACATTGCTGGTGGCAGTTGGCTGGGGAGACCAAGGGAGGGAGACCTCACCCTATAGCCATTTCCAACAGGCAGATGACATGGTGTTTCTGGAGCAAAATCTTTGTCGCCAAATGTGGGCACCCGATGTTTTCATCTCAGACACCGTGATCTGCACTGTTGGCGACCAGAGTGTCTGCATAGGTGAGATAAGGAACCGTGTTCTGCATGATACATAACCGTTGCTGGCTGCACCTTGTGAATCAAGGGCTGCACAGTGACTCAACGGCATCTCAAGCTCATGAAAATGTTGTTGTGAGGCATGAGAATTGCATCCTCAACCACTATAACCTTGAAAGGCATTCTTGCTTCCTCTCTAATGAAGGCTCTGAAGGACCTGCTCTCCAGAACAATGTCCGCAACAGTATATTTCTCAAACATAATGGCAAACATGGGTGTTGGCAATACCAATGCCCTTGGCTACTGCTGCATATTGGTCACCTGTTTGTGCAGCTTCTATTGATATTCACACCTCACGTGTTTGCAGGCATTGTTGTTTGCCACCAGGTGCTGCATCCAAACAGGTGCCACAATGCACACATGTGTCACATATTGGATGCAGCATCTAGTGGAAGAGGGCCTATTGCGTGTGCCATAGTTGCTTGGTTCTGTTGACTTGTGATGGTTGCGGATCTGATCTGGTGAGCTGCTGTGCACAATTTCGCACTGGATTTTGCACCCTGTGTACATTTCAGATCTCAACTGTTTTCCAGCTCCAGAGAATGGGTTTCCCCCTCACAGAGGCACTGAGACAGCTCGAGTTGACCTTTTTCTTGTTCACATTGATGAACATTTCAATCCAACCAAAGCGCAATGAACCTTCACACTGGTTGATCCCACCCCAGGGTCCTGCTTGTAAAGCCAATGTTGACGACTTTGTTCTTGCTCTTCAGGTGACAGTGGAGGTCCTTTGCTGTTGGCTGATGCTCCTGATGGCAATGTGGCTGCTGGGGTGCCCAATAAAGATTCTTTAGTTGGCATAATATCATTTGGCAATGGATCAAAGTGTGAAATGGGCAAATCTGTCGTGTATTCCAGAGTGTCCAGCTTCCATGATTGGATCAAGAGCATAATACAGCAGGTATGTGCCATGTGCAGATCTTGCAGCACACTGCAAGCACTTTCGGTCACCATCAGATTTTGTGTCATTGTGATGGAAGTGTGTGGGAGTGGGTGGGGTTACGCAATTGATGCTCACAAGGTGTGAAAGTGCACTGCATAGCACCTAAGTGCTGGAAAAAGAACACCTTCCCACATTGCGATGGGAATGGGAGGCTGGTCACTTGTTGGTGCCAGCTGCAGCCACCCCCAATGCCCCATTGGCATCCCTAGGCCAGGCTTGGTCTTGTGGCAGAAACAGTGTGCACGTGTGGGTAGTTACATATTGAATGTAAGAATATCCCTTAGGTTTTTACATACTATCTCCAAAGTCGTGCATGATCTCCAATTGTTGCTATAGGTGTGCAAGATCAACTCATTTAGTCGATCCATCACAATATTTGGATTCCTTGGTTGATTTTATGTTGACACAGATCTTGATTTATATTTATTACCATACAATATGGCCTTCACAGCTTAATCAAGAATGCCCTGTTCAGTTCCGTGTAGGCCCTCAATTGTTCACATTGTTGCATTGGCCTTATTCTGGTGCGTCCCAACCCATTTCTCCAATACTCATGAAGAACCTTATTGCAGACAACAAATAGGCATTATTACATCCCTTCCACAGTATCGACATCATTACAATAATGATACTGGACGAGATTGTCCCGTAGTAACTATTGTATATTTGGGGGGTCAACTCTTCCAATATTCTGAACCATGTTTCCAATATTCTGGCTTCACTGTGTTAACCTCCGTTCATGGAGTTTTCTTGGTTGATGTAAGTATGTAGGGCCTTCCAAATCTTGACAATTTGCAAGATAGATGCTTTGCACTCATCAAGGTGTCCTTTGGTTTTCGACCACTACTTGTGCACGGTTAGCACTGCAAATTTTGGGTTGCAGACTCCGATCCTTTTTTCTTGCGAGTTCTTTTTGGGATCGAGCCACAATTGCAATGCATACCTAACCAACCTAACACATCTTTTTCCTAGTGACAGCTCAGCTTGGTCAACCTCTTTGAAAGGGCAAAGCAATCATGTTGTACCCCGCCCAATGCCCTGATACAATGCAAAATCGCATTTCAGCTCTTTATGGCATCACAAGAGCCCCAACACCATTTGGAACGTTTGGGGGCCGTATAGATAGATCTTGATATGGCAGTTCGAAGCTACTTCAGTCAATTTGTCTGACTCACACCCTCTGACCTCCGCTTGTGCAAATGGAGATTGGGCACGGCTTTTGAGACAGAGGTAGTAATTGCGTTTCAAGAATATGTCAAAAATGTAAATACACCATGGGTGTACATAAAGACGGTGCATGCAAACACAGGGAGTCCAGGAAATGTTAGCTGGATGCTCTGGAGTGAGCAATAACGACCTTGGTTTGACGATGACGTTGCCATTGTTGACGGGGAGGTGATGCTGTGTTGTGGGTGCCTTGGGGGCCGGTAGACCAGCCGTTGCTTGAGCCTTTGTCGTGTAACCTGGATATCTGGATATATGTGAGAGTGCGTGGATACAGCGATAAGAATAGCCGTTTCTGTGTCTATGCGTTTTAGTGCATAAAACGTAAATATAAAAATGCTGACATAGACAAAACACCAAGTCTGCCCATATTGATCAAAATTGGCGTGTAGAAGGGGCGAAAATAGTTCATGTTACGGGTGCAGCAGCAGATATCTGTGCCTCTCCCATATTTTGCACTTTGTAAGGGAAGACGCTATGTTGATTTGGTTACGCTTAGCGTCAATTTGATGTTATGCTCACCCTCTATTTCATTTCGTTCGCTGTTCTATCTCCTGGTGCTTTTCATGTGGGTCTGCTTCGCTTGATCACTGTGGGTGACTACTGCGCTCGATGTGTAGACCAACAATGTGCTCTCTTGTTTTGTGCCTTGTGTTGTTACGGGGCTCCCTCCTATGGCACGTGCAATACTGGTGGAAAAGGAGGGGGTTTTGCCTCGTTAATTTGTACTGCCATCTTACCCCCCCACACCCACCCACCCACCCACCCCTCCCCTAGTGTCAGTCTTTATGTCCAAGCCAGGATGACTCAACATCACTGCATAACGGTGTGGTGCCAATTTATTATGCTTTGAAGAAAGAAAAACAGCCAAGTTGCAGCAATTTTAGTGGGCTGAAAACCGAGATGCAAAATGCCATGGCAGATGATGGGGGGCAGTTTTGAAGGCTGCCAATCGAGATTTTCTGGGGCCTATTGTGAAGACTGGAAGCCAAAGGGAAGTTTGGAGACAACTCATACGTTTATTGCTGCTTTTCAGTAGCTTTTTGGGTATCTTCCAAGCTTATGTCAATTTAGTTGCAATTACATACTTCCTCCATCCCATATTAAATGTCCTCTATTTTAAAGACAAAATTCGTTACAAGGACTACCTCAAAAGTACAAAACAATGTCAGAATCGGAAAGATTGGGTCCCAAAACCCGTAACTACCAATTTTCAAGAGAAAAAAATCAGTCTTGACCCCTTTGAGCAGCATCCGAAATACCCCTTGCCGGGCCCAAAAAATGCGCATTCACATTCCACGTCCACGGGAGATCTCCACGCATCTGGGCGGCTCCCGTCCTCACGTGCAGCAAGCCCAAGTCGTTCCTGCTGTCGTGGGGGAGGGCAGCATCAAGCACGTGGAATAGCCCTTGCCAAACATGCTCCAGCATGTTTGGATCGTGGTTGTAGAACGCTGATGTCACGGCGTCAACGATGGCTTGCAGATTTCCGCCATCCTTGACCTCTGATGCATGGACCTGCAACGAGTGAAAAAACCCAAGATCCAAGACGTTGAAGCCTGCACTTTGGGCAGGCTGCTGCTTCAAGGTTATGTGGTAATCTTCTTTGGAGCATTCTGCCTCAATCGATGCTTGAATCGACGATTTGGTATGTGGCTTGGCCCCGTCGAATTGGATCACGATATGTTTCTTCAAGTGTTTGTACGCATCTCTGATGGCGGGGAAGACCTTTTCCACCATCATATCCCTCCAAGCATCCCCATCCACTGAAACTAGCTTCAACTCTGCCTCCCCAGTAGCTCTATGTTTGCTTGATCGCACCGCAAAACCCTCCCTCACGAATGGCCAGATCCCTATTAATCCATTAAATTTGGTCCCGTTTGCCCTTTTGTGGGGGCGGCCAACGGTAACCAAAAACATCACTTTCTTTATAAAACTCTTACTCTGTGCTTTGGGAGCCCTTAGACGCTCTTCCTCAGGTAGGACCCACACTTTCTGAGCATTTTTCATCAAATAGAACCACTTTTCATCCACGTGGATTGTGTTTGCAAAGTCAAAAACCTCCCACTTGCGGCCCACTTTGCGCGTGTGGGCCAAGATCCAGCGCAACCTAGTGACTCTCTGCTCTTCAGAGAGACACGGTTTTATCCTTCTAGCAGCTCGCCTTGCGCCCATCCCCTTCACGTGCCGAAGCAATGTCGATTTTGCTATCTCTGTCCTAGCAGCCATTGCCCTAATTGTCCACCGTTTGGTGGGGGTGATGGCCGCCACTTGCTCTCGCACCTCCTTGCCAATCTTGAGAGGCCTCCCGCAGTTACCATGATGATGGCGATGAAGATCCAAGGCTCCAGGCTTGGAGATCTGGGCCCGCATCGCTGCCCCGATTCACCAAATTGACCTCGAATCGCAGCCAAAACTCTTGGCGAGTTCGGTGATCAAGCCACCCAGAACCCGTTTTCTGTTGCCTTGCCGCTTCATAAGGACCGCCCCCACCTTCAGCCCGAGCGGCGTGGAAAGTTCCGTACGGGCGGCTCTGTTCTGCCGCCGGGAAGGCGTGGTCTTCACCATCGCGGAAAACGGCCGTTTTTGCGGAATCGTTGAAAAACCGGTGGTTTTCTGGCCGGAGAACCCTTGCTATAAAGTACTGCCAAACCCTCAATACTTAACATATTGACGTGAAATTTTGACTGGGTTCTCTCAAGACATAGGCAAAGCTTTGGACAAATTTTCATTAAAAAAGAAGAAATCTGTAGTGAAGAAGTTATGCGCCAAAGTCATAGAGGACATTTAATATGGGACGGAGGAAGTAATCTCCTAGAATCACAGGTCTGAAGACCCCCCCGCCTCCCCCACATGTCAAATTGATGCTAAGCATAACAATTTTGACATAGTCTCTTCCCTAACATCGTGCAAATCCAACTGGGACGCACGGTTGGGACGCTGGCTGTTATTGCGAGCGATGGCATCATATGTACAAGGGAAAAATCAGGTTATGCATCATGATTTGGATGTAAATCATTCATGGCAAATATATATGGTGCGCAACACATGCCTAATACTGAAGGTTTTGGCCCTGTTTTTGCTAACATCACATCAGTGAAATATGTTTCTGAGTAATACAACACAATTTAAACAAATACAGAAAAACATTGAATTTTGACAGGATATCAGAAATGATCCTGGCCACACTTCTAAATGTGGTATGGTGGCAATGGTGCCCATCACACCGTGTATGCAACGCATTTGTGCAGCTGGATCCATGTCAATGGGGTCCTGGACTTTAACTCTAGGAAAAACAGTACTAACCATTAAAATCATGCTGTGGGTTGAGAGTCATCTCGCTTTGTTATTTGTCAGACATGGACAAGCAGTGCACTGGCAACTGCAAGGAGATAGGAGGCATGCTTTCAGCAGCAACGTTTTTTGGATCATTTCTCTCAAAATTAGAAGAATTCGGAACATGAGAGAATCGTGCGCAATTATTGCCATCATGTGTCAAGACGCAACTCCTGGTGCCCATTGTGCTGACTGTTGTGCCGAAATGTCTAAATCTTTGGTTATCAAGGGGCATGCAGCATGCATATGATGGAATTGGGATTGAAGACGACAGACATTTGAAGTTCAACATGCTATTGGTACAGTAAACTGAATCGCAAGCTCAAGATACCCAATTGTGTGCACACGCAGACATTCACTCTTCCATCCACTCCCTCCCACAGTCCATCCTCATCTTC